GCAGGGTGAGTTCCCACATCTCTTCTCAAGTGACCTTCTGGAAGATTCTGGGAGTCTTCTTAGTTTCTAGAGGACAGTCAAGGATGGGGTAATTCTAATCTTTGGCTGCAGAATATGCCCCTGACTAAGGCTGATATGATGGGCCCAGTCCATGAATGAAAGGGACAGATTGATGGGGACCTTAACTAGAAAAATCTGACCCACATGGTTTGAGGAATGACACAGACCTGAAAGTGAGACTTTCTGCCCCTACAGGGAAGAACAGGTTGTAGGTAAAGGTAAATAAAAACATATGCCATCCTCCAGATGCAAAGGCAGTGTTGGATCTTTGGAAAATCCAGCCTACAGATGTCCACTGCCATCTGCGACAATGGCCTTGCTCAGCCCTGCCAAGTGGAAAGAAGGTGAAGGCCTTGTCCAGCCCTGGTCAGAGGTGGAGTGGAGACATCTGCTAAGTACCTTCCAGGTCAGCTTCAGGAGCGGAATGTGTAAGGCCTCCATCTCCCTGCTCCCAGACCACAGAAATGCCCGCCTGGCGCTGGGGCTGAGGTCTCCTGTGTGTCTCCATGCAGGCCACCGCTTCCTCCTGCTGTCATCTTCTCCACCTTCCCCAAGGTTTCCACAGTGATGTGTGCTGTTTTGTAACACAATAAAGATAGAATTTAATTGCAGATAGAATGTTTTCCCAAAGACCCTGAATGTGAGTTAGCAGCCAGGGTCACCTGGTCACGGTTGTGATGCCTCATTGACCCCACAGCTGGGGCCTCTAGGAACCTGCCCCTGATCTCAGACACTCTCCCAGCAAGAACTGCAGGATCCACACTTTTGATGGGGAGAGGATGAGGCAGAGGAGATGCGGGATCCCTTAGCTCTACCATTGGAGGAAGGTCTGGATTTGGGGACCACACTTGGGTGCATGTACCCCAAGGGTAAATAAGGAGAGGTTCAGGGCTCAGATAGCAAAGTTCTCCATGCATGCAGCATCAGGAGGGTGGGGAATTAGGTAGATCTGAGCACCTGTTTTGAGCCCCTCATCCTCACAGATGTCCCCAGTGACCTTCATGGTGGACAGCCCCAGAGCTCTGGAGAGAAGTGGAGGCCCATAAGGTGAAACGGGGTCCTGGTAACTTGGCCATGACAGTGACTGCATCCAGGGAACCTGGAATCTGGGGCTGGGCAAGGGGGCAGATGCTGACCAGGACCCTTCTCCACTGCAAGCCCTCCTGGTGCTGCTCTTGATGGACCCCAAGCAAGTTCTTCATGACTCCAGGTAAAAGCTTAGCCTGGGAACCACTCTTTTTAAGCCTGTTTTGTTGCTCAGATTTGGCTCAGAAAGGGTCTTTTGACACTGACTCTTAACAGTCTGTCACTTCTCCTCTAATGAGAGGCCAGATCAGACCAAAGGACAGGACAAGTCTGTTCCAGCGACATGGG